AGCACTTTGGTAACTTGGTAACATTACAAATTGACTGAAGTATCACTACAACTGTACTATGTTTGCAGTAACTACACTTTCTTTTATGCTCACACAAATCACTTGTTAACCCAGTGGTTCCCATATCTGTCGTATAGGCTATGTGCACAACCGTAGTTTCGAACTTCCGCTTTTGTCAGAAGTCGGCGTATCAGTTTCCGGTCAACGACTGGTCATCCGCATCCACTAATAAACAAAGAAGATGAGTGCTGCTGTTGTACGAAAAAAAAAAGAGTTCTTAAACACATCTAAGTTTCTTAGAACTGTAGTGGATCTAACGTCCGTTTCACACCCGTTTGCAGTGTGTGTTGCGGTGCAGGAGCGTGCTGTTAGTGTGTTCACATAGGCTATGATGCGTTTGCACAGTGAATAACTGATCCGCGGCTGTACAACAAACACATACTTATTATTTTTATTTAAAGTCCAGAAGTTATGCTGCAACTTATTTTTAAAAACAAAAAGTTGTCAGCATTGCGATTCTTAGTATGCACGTTTAAACACAATTTAAACAATGTAAGTTAGCCTACTCCATGCATTACAAGTTGCTCAAGCAAGTGGTCAAATATTTCCTATATTAAAATCGCAAATAATTTAAATTAAAACTTGAAATTGACAAAAGCAGCCGACTTGCCTTTTCGTTTGCATCTTAATTTCAAAACAATAGATCTTGCATGTCACAAAACTTATTTTTCCACCTCCACGATCGAGACGAGTTCATTCTGTCGCCTGGTTGAAGTAAATTGTAGTTTTCCTTGATTAAATGTGCATTTATGGTGAGATTACTACATTTTATTTAATTAAACGCATGGTGAAATTACTACATTTTCAGGTCAATCTTTATGACCACCAGCGTTTGCAGCACAGCAGAAATAGATTCGTTGTGGAAACGATCGCTGTGCTGCTGTTACATGTACCACACCAGTGAAAAGTGAAAGCCCTAACCTGTTTACATGGTGCGTAGGAGACTGCTGTGCGGCACTTGCTCTGCTTCAAGTCGCTAACAGCCATTTGAGTTTCTACTGCTTCCTGATAAACACCAACCTTCGTGCACAGTGGCTGCACAAAATAGACATTTTGATCGACGCGCAAAAAATAATAAAAATATTAAGTATGTGTTTGTTGTACAGCCGCGGATCAATTCACTGTGCAAACGCATCATAATATGTGAACGCACTAACAGCACGCTCCTGCACCGCAACACACACTGCAAACGGGTGTGAAACGGACGTTAGATCCACTACAGTTCTAAGAAACTTAGATGTGTTTAAGAACTCTTTTTTTTCGTACAACAGCAGCACTCATCTTCTTTGTTTATTAGTGGATGCGGATGACCAGTCGTAGACCGGAAACTGATACGCCAACTTCTGACAAAAGCGGAAGTTCGAAACTACGGTTGTGCACATAGCCCATAGTAACCCCAATACTACATCGTTTCTTGCCTAATCAAACACACCTGATTCAAATGAGCTTATGAGTTGATTCAGGTGTGTCTGATTATGGAGACAAAGCAAACATGCAGTATTGGGTGGTTTGCAGGACAGGTTTGGGAACCACTGCGCTAACAAAAAGCTGGTAGTGCTAAGGGATTTTATTTTCTAACGATCATTTCAATTTGTTGATACTGTAGCTACGATAGGGACAAATTTACCTCCACGCCATTCAGGGCTGGGACCGGGACCGGGAGACCTTCACCACCACAATTATCTACCATAAGTTCAGAATCTCTGTCTGCACGGTGAGACAATTTGCCATTGATTACAGTCCACATTTTTGGTATGCATAAGTGTAAATCTTTGTTGTTTATTTCTATTTGTGTTGGTGCTGCTGATGTACAGAGTTGATTTTGCCATGGGAGTTGAAGCTATGGATCAGAGCACTTTTTTCAGCGATCGAACAGTTGGAAGCCAGGTGTGTAAAATTAATACAGTGGAACTTTTACTCATTTATTTTTAAATCTTGATTGTGTTTGCTTTGAGTAAAGTTGATGATCACGTTTATCCTGGTGTCAGGAACAGAAATGTTCTTTTCTTTGTAGTGTTTTTTAATACACTGGATAGGGCTCTATGAAGAACACAACACTCTTCCAATATCTGCTGTCATAAATAGAACCTTTCTAAAACAACATTGGCCATTAATGTTGTCACACTAACATTCTCATTGGCCACTGCAGCATCACATTAATAGTTATGTTTGTTTTAGACCCATACTGTATTTAAAAATATGTGTTTGTGAGAATGTGTTCAATGACCTTAGGAATTCCATGTAAGTAATTATTTATTTATTTATTTATTTTTTTCAAGTTGATTTCAAATTTTGATAAACATACAAAACTAAAATATTTTTTTTTTTTTTTTAACAATTTGTGTAGTATTGACTATGAGGATACCATAAGCTGTTCAGACTACCAAGAGGAAGCCTGGAGTTCAGATAGTGATAGTGAGTACATACCAAGAATTTGTGTCAGGTATGTGATATCCATCATTGTTGCATGAATAATTTTTTTTTGCTCTTCATTCAAACTCAGATTATAATTTTTTGGCATCTTGCTTTTCAACAGGACTGGTGGAGCCTGTTGAAAACACCATTAAACTTTGATGATCTTTGTGAAATTAATATGGAAGACACAATGTATGATTTTGCAGATATAGAGGAGGTGGAGGACGACGTTGAGAGAGACAAAGATACCAAAAGTGATACTTCACCGTCTCCTTTTGTGATGAAAGTTATATGTGAAGATGACATGGTGTGCCTGCTTCAATAGTGTACCACAGCAGCCTGAAGCAGCTTGTGAATTATTTGGACATCCCAACCAGAGCATGTACACCGATTGACCGGACCACAAAGCAACGTTGTGGTGCACCAAAACCATTTGAAGTGGTTGTCCGGGAAAGGGGCACTGCTGCAGTTGTTGAATGGGTACATTGTAATTATATTTTATATCTGCGATATGTTGTCATTTTGTGTTGAGTAATAGACTGTATTAGTATCACATTTTTGAGAATAACTATGCACATTGCTTCTGTTTAACTGTATTACAGATATGTCTACATGGTCACGTCGTGTGGAAGTGGTCTTCACAACCGATGTTTGCACAAGGAATGCATGCCGGCGACTTCCTACTTAGCATCAACATATTGCTGTCTGGCAATAATTACACCAAGATTGCATTGCTATTCAAATTCATGAATATGAGAATAGTAAACCAGACAACCTTCTTCAGGATCCAGGATCACTTCTGCATCGACCCAATAAAAGAATTTTGGGACACGAAAAGGAAAGAAATCATCAGGCAGCTTCAGGCAAAGCAAAGTGTGGTGGCTCTGGGTAAGTCTCGTTTTGAACTAACTCTGGACTTGACTGGTCATTTGATATATGTCATGGGAAAATATAATCACACTTCTATGCTCACATTTGCTTCTCCAACATGAAAACAGGAGATGGCCGGATGGACAGTCCGGGTTTTTGTGCGCAATACTGTTCTTACTCGGTCATGGAAAATGACACCAAAAAAATTATTTCCATTGTCAATATTGACAAGAGGGAGACAGCAAGAAATTCAGTGGCCATGGAGAAGGAGGGGTTTCTCCGAACAGTTGATGACCTCTGTCAAGATCTCAAATTGGCAGAATTTTGCACGGATGCCAACGTACAGATTTCGGCTCTTTTCAGTAAGTATTGCTAAAGCTCCAGTGTTTCTAATTTATTATATAATTGGATTTATCTTTTGTATTGCAACACAGATACACATAGGACTCTTAAATTTAGTATGCATTTGAAACGTGTAGCTTGTTTATTTATTATTAATTACAGATCCCAAGACTGGACAGCTCAAAGATAAGGGGATTCACCATTCTCTCGATGTCTGGCATGGTTCCAAAAATCTTTCTCGAAGACTTACTACGGTACTGAGAGGATTTGTATTTTAACACATTTATTAGTATTGTTGTGATATGCAATAAATTGCTTGTTTTTTATTCTCATGCACATTATGTTGTTTTACAGTTAGGCCAACAGAAGGGGTGCTCAATTATTCTGCAATGGTGTAGTAGAGACATCTGCAACCATTTTTGGCATTGTTGCAAGACTGCAGAGAACTATGATGATTTTTTTGTATGTATTTTTTTTTTTAAATATCCAACATCTATACTGCATAATATTGTCTAGAAAAAATATTTAACATGTGGATATAAATTAGTTTACTTGCACAAAGGCAAACATTGAAATCAAGTCAGATCAGCTTTGATGTTGGCATGATCTCCACAGATAGCTGAGTGAAGTTCTGAATTTGTTTTGAAGTGCTGTGCAAAAGAAGCAGTCCATGACTTACCCAATGTTTGCAAAGCACTTCTAAACTATTTTCCATGTCAGCACACTCCTCCGTCCAACACTTGAGAACATTGAAATGCTTTGTAACTGATCTCTCTGACTTATTTTTTTACTCTGTTTGCAAATTGTCCCAAAATTATTTTAATTGATCACCTGATTACTGCTCAATTAAGGTTATGAGTTGATTGATCTGTTTGTCTGTCACAAAAATTGAAATTTATCCTGTTATTTAAATTTTAGGACATGTGGGTCGGCCTACTACACCATGTAACACTGCATGAAAAGACTCAAATCCGGCAATATCCGGGCATGGTAAACTCCTGTGCAATTTGATGTTTGCTGGATGTATGTGGGAAAAAGCGGATTATAGTAACACGGAACAGTATATTTCCAGACAAACCCGGAAACCTCACCTAAGCGGGCATATACAGGAATCCGTAAAAAATTCAAGGACATATACAGCTGAAACACTGCTGGGTGTGAGAGGTGTGAAGAAGACCTTTCATATGTTAATGACTGACACTAAGGGTGCTAACTGTTCTCAGAGGGAGGAGTGGCAGAGGACTTCAGGATTGAAAATTATCTCTGGTCTACAGCAAACAAGTTTTTTGTACCGAAAAATAAATACATTCTTAAGGCCCTGAAACAGAAAACCGACGTCAAAGAACTAGCAATGACTAAAGCCAACTCTAGGGTTGGCTTATGTCGCCTGTGGGGCCTTAAAACCACTGTATGAAAAAAAGTATCCTAATCAAATATTCTTTTATAAAAACAGGACAAAATAAACACCATGAATATACGTTCACAAAAACATCTGAATATTTAATGAAATAAAAAATACAGGGAAACATTTCAGAATATCTAAATTTTTATTGTGAAGTTTTACCAATTGCAGACAACAACATTTGTCGCCATTGGCTTTGCTTAGTTGGGGACATTTTTATTTAATATTCAACAATGTTATTGAACTGCCTGCATTGACACCATTATATGAGATCTGAACTGAGATGGACAATGACATCACGGTTTTGGCAGAGTTAATTCTTTGGGCATGCATGATGTGAAACGAGTGGTCGCAAAACCACCGGGCTTTCCCGTGTTATTGTCAGCAGCTGGTTATCCTTCCATGTTGAAGAGTCCAGCTGCATCATATTTATTCACAAAATTAAATAGATTCACCTGGGAGCACTCTTGGGCTCTGGGTAGTTGCCATCACGGTCCCCTTGTGGAGCCAAGGGAAAAGGATTGGATAGATCCTAACTCTGAAGCACATCAGAAACTCTGTGAACTAATTCTCGACGCACGATGGCTCAAGGATGTTCCCAAGTATCTGCATTTCAGGTGAGTAAGACTGTTGTTGTCAACACCTTTTATGTGTGCATTGTTTTGAAATTGTTGAACTGATCATTTTTTTCCCCCTCAGATCAACCGCAGAACTTGAATCTTTCCACAATCACATCCTCATGTACGCCAGCAAACGTTTCAGCTTCACACATCCAGTGTACAGTTCACGAGTCTTTCTTGCGGCTCTTGACTACAATCACCACATCAACAGGGCACCAAGAAAAAAGAAAGATGGCACTCTTCAGTAAGATATGACAAGCTAAACTATGCATTATGTTCAGTTTGGTTACAGAGGAATTGTTATGTAAAGTATTGACTGATACAGGGCTTATTATTTAAACTACAAACCTTGGCATCAATACACAAAACTTCAGCTAGTTTTGGTGCAACGTCTATCGCCGTACACTATATTTTACCGCAAAACAAAAAATTGCTGCTTGTTGATCTTAGAAATGTCACTGGCAACATTGAAATATTAAAATGCCCTTATGCACACTTCTTATTGATTTCTAGATATGCTAAGCTTTACAGCAAACGGTCCCGGAGATGGCGCGTCTACTCCCTAAAGGTCAAGAAAGACTACAGTTACATCACAGAGTTACAAGTTGACATTGTGCGGAAGAGGTTGGCATCCGCAGGGCTTCCCGTTAAGACAACAAGACGACCTGGTGACCCAAGACGTCTTGGAACCCTTTCTGGTGTGCCAGCACCTTCAACGGAGGAGCTTCTGAGGACACAGCACACCAGGGGAAAAGGTAAGACAATGTTATCTTTGCAAAATTTACATTAATGCCCGTGGTTCTAACATTTTATTGCGGTAGAAATTGTATAAAACATCATACTTTAACATGTTAATTTTTCTTATTATAAGTAATAAGCTTTTTTGTGTGTTTCTTTGTGTACAGGGCATCCAGAGGCACCGGAATAACAGCTGATTCCATATGTTGCAGTTAACTACGCACTTTCTCTTTTGTTCAAACAACTGCTTTCAATAAAAAAAATTTACTGAATGTGTGCCACATTCTATTTATTTAAAAAAATTACAATTATGGAATGTTACTGATACAGACATCCTACTCGTATGTCAATTTTCTTTTTTATACATTTTTTTTTTAAAGTAAATACAAAAAGTTTACAATAACAAAAACAATTACTTAAATGTAGAATACAATTTTAAAAGCATATAAATTCTAAAATGAACGGTATAATGAAAAAAAAAACAGTGAACCATACCCAAAAAATAAATATGAGAATATTACAACTATTTACAGAATTTTAAGCCTTTTTAGGGCAACAGGTGCTTTTAAACCCTACTAGGTAGAAATCCAGTATACTGGCCATGTGGATCTGGGTAGCGCTCCCTGATCCTAGACACACAGCAGCTTGGTATAACAACCCTATGTCCCGGGCCAAGGACCCCATACTGCCAAACCACATATTGACTGTAGGAAGCATGACGGAACTGTTTATTACTTTCTCCTGGGTCCGGGTCATCCTGGACAGCCCTTATGTCGTTCCAGACCCTCCGAGATAATCCAAGGACCCCTTCATCTATAATATACAAGTCAAAAGTGGGTAGGGTTGAAATACACCTGTCGGGCCGTTGTCCACAACACTTTCTCTCTATGTCTGTTGGCATTTCTCTGCAATGCTGACATACACACCAAGTGGGTTGACCCGGGACAGGAGTGTAGTCTACTGCATGTCCCTGTGTGGCCATGATGTCAAATAGGAGACTGGGGTCCCTTGTAAGGCATCTCTGCAGGAGCTGGTGGGACTCCTCGAGACTAAGGCTCTGAATCCTCTACTGAAATGATTAAACCTAGAATATCTTAATATTTTCAAAAATCTCTTCCTAGATGTGCCACAGCAGATAAGACAGACTACATTCATACAGTAAGATTTCGTGAAACAATGGGCTTTATACCCAGCTGCACTACTTCCTGAACTTCAGCCAGCTCCTTGTTTCCTGTCTGCCATTATTGGTCAAATTAATTAATTCAGGTGTGCTTGACCTCAGTAGTCATGGCAACAATAATCAGACACACCTGAATTAATCAATTTGGCCAATAATGGCAGACAGGAAACAAGGAGCTGGCTGAAGTTCAGGAAGTAGTGCAGCTGGGCATAAAGCCAATTCAGGTAAGGCAACACTATCTATCCTACTTGCTCTGCCACGAGTCGTTCAGCCCGCAACATCTGGACTTGCTGAAGATCAATATTTTCTAAAGGGATGGCAGCACCCCGGCCTCTTCCTCTCCCTCGGCCTCTACCTCTCCCTCTTCCACGAGTAGCAGATCTATGGGTTATTAAAAAAAATAATTTTTTAAACATTACTTAAATTTCATAGCAGAAGCAAAAGTTAGTACGTTATTGCATTTAAGATAACACCACAATTTACCAATTTACACATTCAAAAACCAATTTACACAATTTAAAACTCATCAGTGTAGCTAACCCTTGTCTGTTATTGCATCAAAGGTAGCACTAAATAAATGCAATTTTACACGGTTTCTTCGACATTACTAAAGGATTCAAATAAAAAAATTCATTACTATCGACAAAATCTTGTATAATTTATGAAGACTTGAAATTTTGAAAGAAAAATACTTATTCAGTTTACTCACACAGAGCATGAAGGAGTTGGTTGATCCATCGTTACATCTGCAGCGTTAGCACGTGAGCTACTTTCCCTTTAAGAAATGCACGTTCACAATTATTTCAGGAAGCACGGAAGGGAGGGGGAGGAGATGAGATGCGGAGGAGGGAGGGTCTAGCTAGCCTCCGATTTGTTTGAAAATATTCCGAACGTCAACACCCAGGATCGCTTATAGAACCTTTAACTTTTGCCGCTGCGCTCTGTGACGATTACCAGCGCGGCCAATAGAAACGGGACATCCAAACAAACACGGAAATCAAAATGGACGAACGGCTAGTACTGTGTGTCGGAATTTCCCGACCTTTAATTATGATAGAAGTTTGAGATCATATAGGGACATCATCAGAAAAGCTGTCATGGAGACATATCTCCATTCAAGTTGGCATGTCAAGTGTGTTTAAAATATATTTATATATATTATTTGTTCCTTTGTGTCAGCTTTAGTGTTTGAATTAAATGTTTTATTCTAAAAAGAACTGAGCTCATGATTTGTGTGTTGATTTTGATGTTTATATATATATAATATTCATATCAAGTCAGATCAAGTCACGCGCAAATCACGTTGTATCTGAGGGCAATGCTGAACAGAGCGGCAAGCGCAGCGCATTCCGCGTCCTGTGTGAAAGGCCCTTTAGGGCGAGTAAAATTCTCTTTTACTTGTCCTTCAAAAATCCATTTGTCCAGGACAAGCGGACAAGTTAGACGGGCTCTGGAGATACGTACCGCGGCAGGTTAGAGTGTTTTGGATTGCATAAAATAATAAAAGAAACGAACAAATACATGGCGAAAGAAGATGGGATTGGGATCATGATTGGAATTTTTGGGATGATTTTTAATAAAATTAGGCGGATGGAGGTATTAGTGGTGTGTGCATGCCTATGAATGCATGTATTTGTATGTGTGCGAATATGAATGAAAGTATCCTAAATGACAGAAAAGACTTGTATAATATGTATTACCCTATAGTTCAGTTTGACGAACGATATCTGCCTCGTTTGTTAAAAGCATTGCTGGAGGACAAGATGCATCTTGCATCGCGTGCTATAAAAAGACGGTGCTGTACAAAAACGTAAATTTATAGTTCGCCTCAAAGTTTTTTATTTGTGTATTTATTTAATTTTTATTATTTCTTCCCCAAGCTCATAAAATAAATTTGGGTCGCACATAAATTGACAGGGTCGGTCGGAAACCGGAAACAAACAATTTTTTTTATGCCCTGTTAAAGGTTGTATCAGCGATAGCGGGGTAACATCACTTCTGTTGATGTTCAAACAAAACAGAGAGCTAGCTGGCTACTCCCTCCCATGCAATTGAAACTCTTCTAAACGTGCATCTATGGGCATCAGTTTGGTTTGAAATGAACAGAGGCGCATTTGGAAGTGCATTTGGGTACAATGACGCATTCATTTACTTTTCTCTTTTCATGTTTTGAAAGACGATGTCCTGTAGCTTATTAATTTAAAGAAATAAAAATGTATACAAAAATGAGATGATGTCCTGACTTGTTTTATGAAAAAAGCCTTAAAGGTGCCATATACAATAATTGAGGTAACAATATACGAAAAATGAGCTACACGCATCAAAAGAATGAGAAGAAATAAGTGCAAAGATGTCATTAAAAAACTGACAAGTTATAGTGCTGCCGAGATATTAACCTGAATTAGCATGCTAAATTACTAGCCCCGGCCCGGCAGGTATCGTAATACCACTTCCGGCCATGGGAGGCGGTATGCGGACGGGCAACGTTAGCACCAGCCAAACTGCAATACGCGAGTGAGTCGCGCTCGCGCCGGCTTTTGTGTGTGTGTATGTGTACTTGAACCTGATGTCAGTCGTGTGGAAATACAGCCCACTACTACATTTCAGTTCAGGGAAGAGTTCAAAAAATGATTGGTCGACATTATGCATGAGGAATACATTTTGGTAAGTTGTAGCATATTGTATCTTTCAACAGTGTTCGTGTTCTTTTTACAGCTAGTAGAGACGATCGGTTCACGTGCGCTAGGGATCTGTAGTGTAACATGTACAAGCGCCAAAACGGTATTTATTCTTTGAATTGCGTAATATAATTGACAGAATCTGAGAGCTTAACTAACCTGCTTGCTAAGTGTCAATTGCGTGTGTCTCACGGTGAATTCACGGCGCTAGCTTGATCAACATCAGCGAATGCTGTCTGTCAAATTAATTCACTAACAATAAAAGTGTAATATGAACAAAACGAATACCATAAACTTCAAATAATTGCCCAAGCTTTTATTTTCCCATACCGTCGAAATGCACCAGCTTGTTTTTTAGATCTATGAGGCGGTCTTCATCATTTAGTGTTGAGATTCATAGTGTTTAGTTTAGTTCACTCTAGTGTTTAGTTCATTGAGTCTCTGATCTCTAAAAATCTCCAAATGTTCCACGTGAAACTGCGGTCTTCCAACCTTTTACTATCATGTCAAATGATTTGAATAACATGCGCGATGGTAGGAGCACAAGTCATTTTTTGGAGGTATACTGCCCCCATCTGTTATGGAATATGGAGTAGGATTTGATTTATTATGGTAGATGGCACCTTTAAGTTTTCAAAAAGCATTAGACATTACTCACTTACTCCCAGTAATTACTCCCAGTCAAGTTTGATAAAAAAAATTTTTTAGTTTATTTTTATTATTAAAATGCATTTAAGAAAATATATTAATATAAACCTGATTTATTGTTGACTGGTGTGTGTTTAAAATTTGTTTTCAGAATAAAATGGAACTGTTCAAGCAATTTGTAGAAATCCTCCCTCTGGAACGTGATAGGTTGCTACAAAGGCAAAGTGCAGTAACTACACAAACAAAGAAACAGAGAGAAAAACGTCTTTAAAGTTTTTATACCAGCCAGTAAAACATGTTATGGGTAGATTATGTGGTAATGCCTCTCCGAAATGGGACATAATTTAACCCAGATATTTTTTTCACAAGACAGAACACATGTCATAAAGTCTTTACAAGTCATTACAAGTCTTAACTCATTTTTGACCAAATGTGTAGTTACTGCGCTTTGCCTTTGTAGGGCAGTATTCAGGGCTCCAGACTGCGACCAAATGGTCGCATTTTGCGACCAAAATTTGAGAGCGTGCGACTGAATTTTACATCCAGTCGCACATGTGCGACCAGTAAATTTGCCACACGTAAACGCATGCTAAAGCGTGGAAGGGGCTCGTCAATGAATCCGTGACAAGAATAGCGCGCGTTAACGTCTGTGGGAAGGAGACGGAGACAAATATCACAACCTGATGTGCGTCTGAGCAATCAGCGATCTATCGACTCGTTAGTCGTTACCTAGCAGCGAATGCAAACAAAATGAAAGTGGAACGAA